ATGGCCTCCAACCTAGTAGCGAAGTTATCCAACCCATTAGCGATGGCCTCCAACCTAGTAGCGAGCTTTTGCAGCCTGAGGTTTGCTACAACCTTCATGTGGCCTCCCGCGCAGCTCCCAGATTTTGCCCTGGGCGTCTTAGCCTCAGAGCTCAGCGCCGCCCTTCCCAGTTGCAGCGGGTGCAGCGGCTGGTGCCGAGCGATGCTGGGTGATGCGGCGCTGTTGGGCTTCGCAGCGGCAGTGGTGATGCGACTGGGCAGGATCAGATGGCTGGGCTGGTCAAGGCAGGTTGACCTGCCTGGGCTGGGTGATGAAAATAACCTTGGAATGAATGGCCCATTCAATTCATGGAAGCTTCAAGCTACATGGTTGGGCCCAGGGCTCCAGTTTTTCACCGAACAGACCCGGACCTTTCTACAAGCAGCTTTGAGTCCATGTCCCCAGTGTCGTCCCAGTGTGGTTGGGTGAGATTTGCGAGCACCAGATGGTTTCTGGGTGATCCAAGAAACCCAGATGAAAAGGAGAACAGCTCAACACCAGGCAATTCCGAACTTGGCCAAGACCGTCATGACCCCAAACCATCAGCTGCATGGTCGATGCCGGGGATCCGTGCATCCCCCAAACTGCCGGGGTTGGTGGTTCGTTCGACTGCCAAGGCTGCCATCTCCGAGCACGCATGCGGAATGCCAGACTGACAGCAACGTCTTACTGACGCATGGAGGTTCCTTGGCCATCGCCCTCTTCATCTTCGGCAGTGCATCTGGACGCGTGAACTGAACGAAGGTTTTTTTGGGAAGATGGGAGGATCCCTTGGAAAGAGTGCCCAAATAGGCTGTAGAAGTCATGTGCTGTAGAAGCAAGGGTGTTTCTATGTAGGTGATTGTTGTGTCTATCTTCCTCCAAAAGCTTGCACCATTTGTTGGGGCTAAAAGCTTGCGTGAGGAAGCTGTTTGGCCTATGTCTTACGTCATCCAGCCCTTGTATCGCTGGGGAAGTACAGCTTCGAGGTCTATTTGTTCCAGTGGCCTTTGCAGGCTCTCTTTCGGCGCCTGTGCCGCTTCCCCACGCCCGCCGCCCGACCGAAGACGGGTTAGACAATGGAAGAGCTCCCGGTCACGGAAGGGTGGGATGAACAGTCACGGTGGCTAAATGTAGACCCCAACGAACATACTTCACTCTTGATCATATTTCAACCTTTTAAAAAACCCTCCATAAGAAGAGGTTTTGCAATCCCAATGGAGGGGGCGATGATGAATCAAGAGTGGCTGCCTGGCTACTGTCTTGACTGCGGGGCAACTTCGTTTTCGATGCGGTCTGGTTGTAAAGGTCCAATGTTCGTCGTCTGGTGAGTTCGTTGAAAGTCTGTACTTGGTTATATAGAGAACAGAGGTACTAGAAGAGTCTTATCTGAAGACCAGGAATCAGCTCGTTCGCGTGAGGGTACAGATCATGTACCCTCGTTTGTCGTTTGGTTTGGGTGAAGGCCCTCATCAGGCCTGAGCAGCCTGAGACACGTGTTTGTGCTCATGGCCTCCAACCTACTAGCGATAGCCTCCAACCTACTAGCGATGGCCTCCAACCTACTAGCGATGGCCTCCAACCTAGTGGTGGCCTCCAACCTAATAGCAAACTCTTCTAATTTAATTTAGTTCTAATTTAATTTAAAAGCTAATTTAGTTTAATTCTAGTTTAATGTAATTCTGATTTAATTTAGTTCTAATTTAATTCAATTCTAATTTATCCTAATTGTAATTTCATTTAAATCTAGTTTAATTTAATTCTAATTCAAGTTGATTCTAAATCAGTTTAAGTTTAATTTGATTTAAGTCTAATTTAGTTTAATTCTAATTTAACTTTATTCTAAGTGTAATGTCATTTAATTCTAGATTGAATTAATTCTAATCTAATTTACTTAGTTCAATTCTAATTTATTCTAATTGTGATGTCGTTTAATTCTAATTTAATCGTTCCTTTTCTTTCTTCTGTGTTTCTAATAGCGACCGCAAAACATCGTAGTGCCCTGCAAGCAGGGTGTGTCTCACCACCATTGGCAGTCGGTAAAAGACTATCGCTATTTTTGAGATGTCGGCCTGTAACCAAACCATCATCCACCGAAACCTGGTGGGAGATACCCGAGCTACAAGTGCTTCAGAGTTTTGGGGGTTCCAACTTGGAGCCATTCGCTTAATTTGGTGAAGTCCATCATCTCATTGGCCACACAGGTTGGACCAGACGTAGCCGGAACCACAAACTCGTGTCCTTGTCATTTCGAGCGTCCCCAAAGGATAAACTTCAAGGCAGTTTGGAAATCCAAACACCACCTGGTTTCAAAAAACAAAAAGCAATCAAAACAAAAAACAATCTGTTCATTCAAAATTCAGGAGACCTTCATGGCGTTCTTGCTTCTGCTGTGGCTTCTCTCGGGTCTCTACGTGGAGTTTATCGCTGCACCACTGACCCGGTGCCTGCGCTCGGTCAACACGCAGCGGGAGAAGCTGTGAGCCGGTCCAAGCGCTTCCCGGGTGAAGCCGTGGAGAAACGGAAACGCTAGTAGAAACAGGTGCCACGCTACTAGTAACAAGTCCCTTCCTACTAGTAACAAGGAAGCCATTAGAAACAAGTGCCTTACTACTAGTAGCAAATGCATCGCTACTAGTAGCAATGTTCGCTACGATCGGGGCTCCTGGCATCGCTACTAGCAAGGACGCTGCTCGGTTGGAGGCCGCGGTCCCAAAGAGGTCCACTTCAGCGCCCACAGGGCACGCGCCGAACGAACCGCGCGCGCCGTGAACGGCGTGGCCGTGGCAGAACCGCGGACGTGGTGCAGAAAGAACCGCGGGCGTCCGTGTATAGCCCAGAAAGGGAAGGGAATGGACAACTGAAAACAACTTTTGCAGACTTGCTCAGGTAGTCGATTCTCAGGTGAACCCTGTGAGTGTTTAGGGTTCTAGTCCCCTTCCAACCTCGGGCAATCAGCAAGGCACGAAGATACCCCCAGCTCGCTGCAACACTTGGCAAAAGTTCAGGACTTCTCGGGGCATATGTCCTATCAAACACCGTTATCGTTGGAATGAACGGGATTCCGGCCATTCGTTTGAACCCTGGCAGGGCACTGGGCGAGACGTCAAATCCGACTTGCCGACGAAAGCGTACCGCGTACCACTTGAGACCATGGGACAGGCGAAAAGCCATGCAAAAAGATCAGAAAACTTCAGCATCCTAAGAGCGATGGCCTCCAACCTAAGAGCGATGGCCTCCAAACTAGAAGCGATGGCCTCCGAGCTACAAAAAACCTCCCAAGTGTGTTTGTGTGTGTCCATCAAACACTTCTCCTTTGGGCGGGATGAAAGCTGAGAAAACCTCTACATGTCTTCACCAGTCTTGCGGATCGTTTCACGAGGTGCCGAGATGGAAGCAGAGGCACGAAGACGAAAGCAGCTGAGTATGCAGGCGGAGCAGCAGCCCGCTGCGGTGTCGCCATGAGTATGAAGACCATTGGTAGCACCACCCACGGGAGCTGAGTGAAGGAGTGAATCCGCTTTGGTAGTGTGATTGCCTGTAGTTATGGAAAAAGTACATGGAAAACCCAGTGCTGGCAGGCCGTTAACATCTCACATTAGTGATACCCTAGCTACTAGCAGCGATGCACTTGTTCCTAGTAGCGGGTTTTCTCCGTCGGAACCAGTGCGAATCGAGACCTGTCGAGACGCAGGCAGCCATTCAAGAGAAGACCCAGGAGCTTGAGAGGCGCAGTGCGTGCGTGCGTGAATCGCAGCGCGGCGCCAGGTGGCGCCACTAAACGAGGGAAAAGGCGCCGCAAAGAAAGGGTGCCGAGAGTGGCGCCCGTTCATGTGGGTGGAAGGAACTTTTGAGTGGAAAACCTTTGAGCAATGGGAAATCAAGTTCGAAGCTGGTAGTAAAGCCCTTGTTACTATATAGTAGCGTCCTTGCTCCGTTTGTAGCGATGCCTTTTGTTACTATAGTAGCTTCTTGTTCCTAGTAGTAAGGCCATGCGCTACGTTCGTCCTGCACAGAGCTGAAGCTACTAGTAGCAAGGATGCTACTAGTTACTAGTAGCTTCTGGCAATTCTACTAGTAACAAGAAGCTACTAGTAGCAAGAAGCTACTAGGTGGAGGCCATCGCTAGTCGGTTGGAGGCCATTACTATTAGTAACAAGAACGCTACATATGACAAACATGTGCGGTCCGCCTTTTGATCCATGTCATATGTCTGGCATGATGTAGTACCCCCTTCCTTGGGCTTACTCAACAGACGTCAGGTCACAGTGAACAAACTGTCATGTTCACGTTCTTTCAAAACCGGAGTTTGTTTCCGGTTAAAGGGCGAAGGTGGTTTCACTTAAACCAACAGATGCCCAAACCATGTCTACACCATTTGCAGGGTATTGACACTCAAGCAGACCAAAAAACAACCTAAAAACACCCGCGTTGTATAAATGTAATCTCTTGTTTTCCAGACATGTAGCTTTCCTGTTAGCTTCCAAGAAGCTACCTGCATTCTTTTCTTCAAAGCACTTTGAAATGAGACTTTTCTCTTTAAAACATTCGGAAGACCAACCTCCTAGACTAGACCTGTCCATCCGACGTTAACCAGGCTGACCTTTCAGCTGAACTCATTGGAGCGCGTGGAGAGGGAACAACAGGTTCTCATCGAGAAGCTCAGCCGCTCGACGAAGATTTCGGCGGAGAGCGGTAAACTGTTATACGTTAAGTTCTTTCTCTTAGTAGCGATGGCCTCCAACCTACAAGCGATGGCCTCCAACCTACAACGCCTCCAACCTACAAGCGATGGCCTCCAACCTACTAGCGATGGCCTCCAAACTACAAGCGATGGCCTCCAACCTAGAGGTGATGGCTTCCAACGTACAAGCGATGGCCTCCAACCTACAAGCGATGGCCTCCAAACTAGAAGGGATGACCTCCAACCTACACAAGCGATGGCCTCCAAACGAGAAGCGATGGCCTCCAACCTGCAAGCGATGGCCTACAAGCGATGGTCTTCAAAGTAGAAGCAATGGCCTTCAAAGTAGAAGGGATGGCCTCCAAACTAGAAGCGATGGCCTCCAACCTACTAGCCAGCAATGGCCTCCAAACTAGAAGTGATGGCCTCTAGCCCACAAGCGATGGCCTCCAACCTACAAGCGATGGCCTCCAACCTACAAGCGATGACCTCCAACCTACACAAGCGATGGCCTCCAAACGAGAAGCGATGGCCTCCAACCTGCAAGCGATGGCCTCCAACCTACAACCGATGGTCCTCAAAGTAGAAGCGATGGTCTCCAACCTACAAGGGATGGCCTCCAACCTAGAAGTGATGGCCTCCAACCTACAAGTGATGGCCTCTCCAACCTACAAGCGCTGGCCTTCAACCTAAAAGCCATGGCCTTCAACCGACAAGCAATGGCCTCCTACCAGCGATGGCCTTCAACCTACAAGCGATGGCCTCCAAACTAGAGTGATGGCCTCTGACCTACAAGCGATGGCCTCCAACCTACAAGCCATGGCCTCCAACCTACAAGCGATGGCCTCCCTGCAAGCGATGGCCTCCAACCTACTAGCGATGGCCTCCAGACTAGAAGCGATGGCCTCCAAACTAGAAACGATGGCCTCCAACCTGCTAGCGATGGCCTCCAGACTAGAAGCGATGGCCTCCAAACTAGAAGCGATGGCTTCGAACCTACTAGCGATGGCCTGCTGTGTTTCAACTGTATAGTTTACACATCAATTTGGGGAGTTGTGATTCAGAAGTCGTCATCCTTCCAGGATTCGAGGATTCGGATGTTGTCCTCCTTACTAAGCCTTTCTTAGGACGACATCTGCTCTATTGACTCTGTTGTATCATAGGATGTCAGAGACGTTTTCATTACGCAACTGCCCAGAGTCGCAAAGGGTACTCTTGAGTCCCTAAGCGAGTGGAGAATGGGCACCCCTACCCTCCAGGCTGCCCATTGGAACTGCTTGTGTGTATATTATACATGTATGTATTATGTAGATTCTTGGGATCACGCCTCACATTGCTGCTGCGTTCTGATGCAGACATGCTACTTTGGCATGCGGCATGCTGTGCTTGAGACCTTACCAAATGCAAGTGTTGGCTTGCACTTAGTCTTGCGAAAAGTCACGAGAAAAGAGGCTGCAAACGACTTGCTATTCTTCTACACTGTCCAGTAAGATGTGATCCCAGTCATTTCCAGAAAGGGACATGTGTCCTGCGGGTCTCCAGTGCTGATGGATTCCTGGCTTGGATTGAACCATGGACTCGCAACGTGCCAGGGATTTTCCGTACACCCCACCATTAGGCAACAGAAAGGCATAGACGTTTAATGAACATGCAGTCTTGTCCAAACTGGCTAGGAGCAAGGACGCTACTAGTAGCTCCCGGCATTACTACTAGGAACAAGAGGCTACTAGTAAGAAAGGGCATCGCTACTAGGAGCAAGGACTGAGTTCGAGTATTCAAATTCAATGGGTGTCCTCTCTCAAGCACGCCCACAGATTTGTGGGCGTGGGTCAAAACCAAGCACTCCGTAGCAAGGCAAGACAGCCAGACATGACCATCCTCAGCTGTTCCCTTAAACCATTTAATACCTCCCTTGTCCTTAAGTTTACCTGCTGGACTCAATCATGAAAACCACTTTGATTCAGTGCAAAAGATCAACCAAATCTAGATAGACACCATGGGACGCTTCTCTTCGCCAAGGCAACAATGAGACGTCATAACCTGTGATGGCAGAATTCAAGCCGCACGCCGACTGTCTCACCCAAAGGATGCTGTCCATTCCACATCAAGGACCAGAGATGGAGCAACTCCAGAGATCTCATGGCCTCCAACCTACGATCGCGATGGCCAACTAGCCATACTAACTAGCCATTTCACCATGTATCCTCCTTTCACAATCAGGAAAGACCTGGTTTTACACAAACCACACTGAGAGGAAGAGCCATTCTCGGCTTGGAATGGACGACAGCAATGCCACGGTTTTCGATCAAGCCTTGTAGAAGACCGTTGTAGGCAGCATGAGCAGCATGGTCCAAGTTTGTCACTAGAAGAGAAACCCTCATCTTCAAAGAGAAAATAGGTGACAGGAATAGCTGAGGCTAAAGTAGATCCAAGGTATTGCGTTTTCAATCGACTACGTGTTGCACACAGATTAGGCATTGCACGTGTAGTTCGATCAATTCGAGAAGGAGCGACCATCATCCTTCGTTGCGTGAAAACAACACCGCACGGAATCCACAAGGACGGATCCTGCCCGGTCAACGTTCCGGTGGTGAAGGACCTGAAATCCTGGACAATGCCTCACATGTGAATGCCTCGCTTGGGGCTTTCGGACTTCAAGACCACGGCGCTACGAACGGGGCACTCCTGGCCTTACGAACGGAACAAAGGGCATCGCTACGAACGGAGCGTTCGCACGCTCAAACACCTCGGTCCCCTAGGGCGTTCGATGGGCGCAGATTTAACGCGTCGCGTTTTTTCCCGTCGAGCGAGAGAATCGGTCGGGAGGCGTTTGAGGCAGGCGTGCACTCGAGCACTTGCAGCGTTCGAGTGAGGAGGTTGCCCTTCTCTCCAAGGATTGCAGGGATTGTTTTCTTGGTTCCTTACCAAATGGTTGTCAATTGCCATGCACCAGGGAGCTGAAAAAGGGACCCCTGCAGCGATGCTCAACACGACCCATGAAATCCGGCCGGCGGGGGGGGGGGCCACGTTCGGTCTCGTTCGGTCCCAAGGCCAGCTTCACATTGATGGATCTCCAACGCCAGGCCGGAACTCCAGCAACGCGGGCTGTGCGGGCTCGCTCGCGGCCGGCTGTGCAGTCCAGCTTCACTGCTAGAGCTGCCTAGCTCGCTCGCATGGTATGCCCCAGATCGATCGATCGGACTGAGTGTCTTGGATGGTGAATGACCCGTATCGACCAACGAGGGTGACCTTTCTGTTCCAGCTAGGGTGACCGATCTTCTTTCCCCGTATCAACCGGTCCCGGTCATCAACACAGCTCAAAACGGTGGGGATCTTCGTGAATGCCCATCGTCACCTAGCTCTGACCGTCAACTCGCAGTCGCGAACGGTGGGTCTCATTCAACTCCCGCGGTGCCTTCCGGTCGCTCGGTCGCCGAAAGTAGCGAAGACGAGGATGGGGCCGCTCGGAACTTGGTACCCATATGGACGTACATATAGAGAGAGGCCAATGGAAACGGGGAGGGTTGACTTGCAACAGAGAAGTACCAGAGCATTTGATAAAGCGGTGCTTTCGCGAGTAAAGGTGAACTGAAGGTGCTGAAGAATCCATCGGAATTCAAGATTCTCATCCTGTCGGAGGAGACTCTCTCGAACTCCAAAAATCTTTAGAAGTTTCAGCCCACTTCACAGTGCTTTGCAATGTTTGTGAGGGAATGGCCTCTGGAAACACTGACCAAGCAACGTCAGTTCACAAGCAAGGATCGACGGATGATCCTATCTCCTCACACGGTTGTAAGCAGCATGATGTTTTTGCATGGCTTTGCTGATAGGAGGGTGCATCCCCTCGAAAGATTGGAAGGTCCATGATGGTATATATCTATGTGTTTTCAGCTACTATGAAGCTGACACCAGGGCTTTTCTGCGTTCGGAGTACGTCCTTGCTCCTCGTTCGGGGGAACCGAGGACCCGCCGTGACCCGGCCCGACCAACCCCCAGCTCCGTCGGAACGCGGAGTGGCCAGGAGGATCGCATCCTGTGTGGATACTCAGTGTTGGAGTTGATGACCGGGTGGTGCTGCACAAGACAAGGCCTTGTCGAAAAGGCAGGGTGTCAATCCATGGATGAGAAGGGCCTGGTCACATGAGGCAAACAAGAAGCTGCTAGGCTGCTTCGATAATCAGAATGGTAATGGTTATATAGTTCTCCCAAAAGCTTGTGACCTTCTCAGGCCCCCAACCAATCCATATTGATGACTAATTACCACATTTCGGGGGTATAACTCCAGGTCATTTGACACGAGTATCATTGTCCACATTGACATGGAAAGCCAAAAAAAAAGATACTCACGCACAGCGGCCACATAGAAGCGCTGTCTTGAGCCTCTCAGATGTGGTACAATTCTGCCGCGACTTCTTTTTGAGGAGAAGTGACGCATGCACCTTTTCAATCAGGACGATGTCTACAAGATCAGGTCGAAGTGACTGTCCAGGTCATCTGCGGCTTCGCAAGAAGTCGCCCTTGGGAGACTGCCATGAGAGAGAGCAGAAGGTGCCAAGATGTGCCAAGGCATCCCAATCTTGTGCCCGTGTCGTTGGAACGCTCTCCCGCGCTCTCCCCAGGGTGTGGGGCTCGAGACTGTTTTCGTCCACCGCCACCGTGGTCCGCAGCATTCTCGCTGCTGAGCTGGCGATGTGATCATCTCTTTGCGGCATCACAAGTTCAGTCCATGTGATCTAAGATGATCTAAGATCCAAGTAGCCAACAAAACCCAGACAGAAATCATGACAACATCACAAACCCAGGTGTTTCGCCCAGACCTCTGGATGGGTTTGCAAACCTCGGAGATGCTGGGAGCCCCGAATCGTCCGCTCCAAGGCTGGCGGTCTGGGGCCGTGTCTTCGACGTGAGCAGCGGGAAGGCGGGTGCCACGCTAGTAGTAACAGGTGCCTTACTAGTAGTAACAAGAAGCGAACGTAGAAACAGGTGCACAAACGATGGTCTCCAACCTACTAGCTATGGCCTCCGATGGCCTCCAACCTAGTAGCGACAGTGACGGCTCAGGAGTTCTACGGCGAGGGCCAGAGCTACCAACTCTTCGCAGGTGGAGTTCGGCGACGGAGAGGATTGTCATCGACGGCGAGGGGTGTTGAAAAACGTGTTTTCCTGTTTTGGAGGAGCGTCCTTGCTCCTAGTAGCGATGCCCTTTGCTCCTAGTAGCTTCTTGTTCCTAGTTTTGGAGGTGTTTTCAGCGGTGTTTCCATGTTGTTGATGTTGTCCCTCTTGTGATTGCTGTTGGGCGAATGTTGTTGCGGGGAAGAACATAGACCTTTCAGGTGAATCTACAAGGTCAAAATCCAAGAAGACCAACGGGAGGAGTTGACTCGTGACAAGAAGGAATGGTCAAGATCTGATGTTCGACGTGTGCCAGTTCGGGAAGATGCTACCAGTAACAAAGGGCATCGCTACGAACGGAGCGTTCGGACGCTACGTTCGGGGCTCCTGGCCTTACTACTAGGAGCAAGAAGCAAAGCTTCTTTGGACCACAGGAGTCGAGCAATCTTCGTTCCACGGATTCACTCGCTGCTATGTTTGCTATGTCCCTTTGCTATCCTTGGGTGGGCAGCCGGCAGGTCCCTTGTGGGTATGATTGAAAGGATTGCGAAGCGCCATGTGCGTCCAACAAAGTCTCCGTCCTCATCTGGTCCGGTCGGTGTCCTAATCGGGTTGAAACGGGTTGTGTCCATAATGTTGCACTTCTTTGGAGTCTTCGGTCTGAAACAGGTAATTGTTTTGCGAACGGAACGCTTCAGTTGAAGGCATTTTCCCAGTTCCTGGCCGCAGGCGGCACCATGTGAACTTTGGTGGGCGAGAGTCTAGCAAGTTTGGTTCTGCACCACCCTGCATCCTGGGAACAACAGAGAAAGTAGGAATTCCAAGTCTCCGAGTATCCTCATTCTACGCGTCACTACAGTGGGCCCTACATATTTAGGGTGAGGGGCTTCAATTGTACCCGACTAAACCGGCCAGCTGTCACTCCTCAAGCTTCTTGATGGCAAACCTCCTTTTTGGGTCTGCCGTGCGCGGACAGAAACCATCTTGCTGACGGATAGAAACCACGAAACACCCAGTTTCACTGGTCAGCTGATTGGTCAGTGAGTGTCCACCAATGTGGTGAGTTAGCCCGCAGATGTCCCGTCGCTGTTCCGGGGATGACCGTTTCGGCTGTTCAGGGAGCCGGGCTCCCATGGATTCCTGCCGTGCAGGGCATGACTGCAGCAAAGCCTTTGCGTTGACCCTTCGCCAGGTGCGAAGAGGGCTGCGCTGGACGAGGTCTATCATGTGTACAAGCACATATAAAGTGGTCTGCAAGTAGAAAGAAGGGCCGTCTCAAATAGGCTTTCAGTGGATTCGCTGTGCTCTCTACTTTGGGGTGGCTGAAGTGGCTGTAGAACTTCGATATGACATGAGAACCCGATGACCCTGCAACGTGGAACCCGATGACTTCGCATGTTGAACGAAGCTGGGGCATCCGAAACACGGCATCTCTTGGGCAGTTGAGTGAGACTTGCATTGCTCTTGCCTGGCACTCGCCTGGCGGTCCAACCACCAAGCGGCAAAGCATGTGACGCTTTGGGAGTCATGCACTTGTGACAAGATGTTTGGCTATTTATGGCCTCCAACCTACTAGCAATGGCCTCTCACCTAGTAGGGATGGCATCCAGCCGCTGTTTCACAGCAATTAACGGTTTCTTTTCCACTTCGGGGCCTGTTTGTCACCATCTTCCCTACCACAGGAAGGGCTTCTGGATCAAGGCCAGGGAAGCTCAGTCTGGGTTGAGGGCCACGTGAAGACAGATCTTAAAATGATCGCATCGTCCTGCTGTACTGGGCGACGCGGCCACGTCCTGCCGTCACGAGGCCGCAGGACGTGATGTTTGTTGGATGTTTGTGGCCGAAGCGATCCGACCGATTTGGAGCGCGATTCAGAACGGGAAATGGCGGACCTTAGACAGATGAACGGACCAGCTATTGTGACCATAGCCGATAGCTGTGGCGAACATGGCCCTTGGCGCAGCCTGAAGGCTGCACTGGCGTTCATCATAGTAAGCAGGCAGTAGTTCTTCAGCCAAATGGCCTGCAAATCCATAGTTGCCGGACCTTGCACTGCGGCTAAGTGGTCGTTCAACCTCGAAGTGGTCGTTGTGGTTGCACGTTGAGCTGCCATGGTTCGAGCTCTCAGTGCCGCCATGGCACGTCCCATCTGGAGCGGTTGAAGCCAAGAGTTCACGCAGACGTGACGATGTCAGAGATTCTGCTGGAGATTTCAGGTCTAGATGGCCAGGCGTGGTCCGCACCAAATGCCTCAAAAGGGGCGATGGCCTCCAACCTACCAGCGAGGGATGGAAAGAGCCACGAATGAGAAATGGAGTTTTGTTTATAGCTATTTTGTTGGGGCTGCACCGGTTGGAAGTTCCAAGAGAAAACAAAAGTCGGTCGTGGGATATAATGTGGTATGCTGTGGTGTCGGAGTTGTTCTTTGAGAGCAGATTTGTTGCACACATACCATGTCCATACATACATTGTCCATCTATTTTGCTCCCTAAAGCAGTGTTCCATGAAAACCTGAAAAGAGGGACGTCATTTTGGGGGACACCTTTCGCTGGATCTCTCGCGGACGCGAACAGGCCTGGTGGCTCAAAGTGAACTCGAACCTTCTCGGTTCAGAGCTGGAAGAAATGATTGCTGAGCGCTTGGTGCAGAAGGTGGGCTCGAAGTTCTTCGGCATCACCGGTGTGTCTCTCTCTCTCTCTCTCCGTTTTCATGGGAGAACGAGGCAAGCGTATCGTGAAAAAAGAATTGCGTATCCCCCGAGGTGCAGAAGTTCTTTTAAAAAAAGAATTCCCTTTTTCCGTCCGTCCGATTCCGACTCCGACCCGTTTGTCGCAACGGTGCGACGTGCCAAGCGAGCCGAAGAGGTGAACAGGTGACCGAGAAACGGGCGGTGGTCCGGTGGTTCCGACCACGGAACGCCGGACGCGAACCGAACGGAGCGCTCCTGGCATTTCTACTTAGTAAGAAGCTACCCAAATGGATTGCTGATGAAGGACCTGGGGATGTTGCATAAGGCGAAATGAGCCTTCTTGGAATTGGCTTCGGAACATGAGGTGAAACTCTGGTGTAGCCGGTATCCTCTCTGAACTGAGATACTGCCGCCTGTGCGCATATGCGCCCATCACCCCCAAAGGAGGGAAGGGATGAAAGAGCAGAAACACCTTATGTTGAGCTGGGCATATTTCCTCAAGCCTTCACGAAGCCTTGCCTCCGTAGCTTCGAGGCCATCACCTACGTCATGCCCGATTTGATCGTTCCATGGGTTCACGGTGCCGAGGTTCACGGTCCTCTGGAAGGGCGAAGCCTTGTTTCCGAGCACGACGCTGCGCGAGCAGGGTCTGGCTGACCGCAGCAGGCCGGGGGAGGAAGCTGCAGGGCGAACGGGAAGAAGCTGCAGGTCGCTTTTGGGGGAGTTCCACTAAAATTGAAAAGCTAGCTAGTGAGAATCAGGAGGAAGAACCGAATCATGGGGCTAGAGTTGAGCTCCCATGCTTTTTTCAAGAAAGAGCGAATCGCTTCAACTTGTTGCTATTTAAAGGAAGCCCAAGGTGACAGCATTGGTTGCAAACCAAAAGCACGAAGACATTTCTGCACCCGCCGCCCGTAGGCCGGAGAGGTTGTCACCAAACTTGCCAGGTGACCTGATACAACATCCAGTTAGTGAAGTGTTGGAGCTGTAGAGGAAGAAGGTCAGTCTACCCTAGCGGCTGACACCAGTCAGCTCTCTACACTTCCTCCGGCGAAAGAAAGTGTGGATTTGAGTGCACTGTTCGCAAGCTCCAAGAAATCTTGCAGACGATGCTGAAAGGATTGCAAACATGAATTCCAATGATTCATCAACTGGAGCACTAGCTTCCTGCTTCCTTGGGATCTGCGCCAGATCGCCATTCCAGGTTGTCCTACATCTACGTCCAAGTGAGCATGTCCGAGGCTCAGGAACCGCGACTCTTGGGACGATGGCCCAGAGTGGCCCATGTCACAACTGGCGTTCGCTTCGCGTCCTTTCTCGCTCCGGACGAAGACGTCGCGACGGCGATGCCCCTTGGTGACGGTTCGTAGCGAAGCTTGTTCCAGGAGCACCCCTACCTTCGTAGCTTCGCTCCTCTTCTTTGTTTCAGATCTGTCTTCCCTACGCTGCGCGAGTCCCGCGCCCCGAGTGACGCACTGCCGAGCTCCGCACACCGTCTTGCCCGGAGGGGTCGGGTGGACCAGGAGCCGCGGAACTGGAAGGAACGGATGGCCGTAGCGGTGGTGCAATGGCGGTCAGCTGGTCGGCTCTCTGCCGGTAGAGCAGATGGACCAACAGGCTGGTATGTACGAGTGATGGCCTCCAACCTCATAGCGATGGCCACCTAGTAGCGTTCTTGCTACTAGTAGATCTAGTAGCGATGCCGGGAGCCCCTAGTAGCTTCTTGCTACTGTATGCAGAAGGGATCGCAAAAGCAAAGTGATGACTAAGCGGTGATGACTAAGCGGGTGGCGGCCCATCTCGGCTTCCTGCCTCCAGCGAAAAGCGGAGAGTGTGCGTCTCCGTCGCACAGCAAGCTTCTGTGTTTGAGCAAGAGCCTGTGCAAGTCACTGCTTTTTCCTGCGTTTTGTTGGCTCTTGATGGGTTTCCTTGCACTGAACCTTCACTGGGAGGTTCTGCCCACGTGCTGTGGTCCATTTGGTTCCGGGATGGGAGGTTCTGCCTCTTCCACGTCAAATCATCCCACACCCACGCACCTCGCACCAACTAATTAACATCTTTTGTTTCTACTAGCTTCTTGCTCCTAGTAGTAAGGCCAGGAGCCCCTAGTAGCGTCCTTGCTCCTCGTAGCGATGCCCTTTGCTACTAGTAGCTTCTTGTTCCTAGTACTAATTCAAATCAAGTCAGTTCACACCGGCCCAATGTCGCATTCACTCATTTCGCAGTCACTCAGTCCCTCGCCACAGACGCTTGATTCAGCGTATAGGTATTTCTCTACCGTTCTTCAGCCGTGGACTTAGCACCGCGATCAGGTCGAATCATTTGGTTGCTGTTTGCCCTGTCGTGGCTTTGCACTTTTGCCCTTGTTACCTTTGTAGCGTCCTCTTGCTCCTCCGGAGCCCCGTTCGTAGCGTCCTTGCTCCTACCCCCCCCCCCCCCCGCGCGCACGCGCGCGCGCGAAAAGGTCCTAGGAGGATTTTGTTTGCTAGTAATTACAAGTGCATCGCTAGTAGTAACAAGTGCCTTACTGGTAGTAACAAGAAGCTAGTAATTACAATTAAATTCTTATTGTTACTACTAGTAAGGCCAGGAGCTCCTAGTAGCGTCCTTGCTCCTAGTAGCGATGCTCAAAGTGATTTGGGATCCGAAGTCCAATCACCGACGAACAACGTTGATACGAGGTCTTGCTGTTTACCGACAAGCTACGCACGGTGTCATTCACCCACTGACTCGATCGCTCATTCGCGCACTCACTCACTCTCACTCTCACCCAGTCACTCATTCAATCACTCCTTCATTCACTCAATCATTCTTTCTTTTCTGGCTGTCTTTCTTTCCTCATGTCTTTTCTTGTTGCTTTGCGTTCCACACGCCAATACATGATTCCTTGACCGTCTCCTGTTCTTTCTCACCCTCCTGAGCCACACACTCCCCACACTCACGTGTGGGGTGATCGCCTTGAATCATCTTTTCTTTCGTAAGTGTGTTGAAACCACCAAGCAGCTCAGGTCTTCAGATTTTTGTAGCCACCCACCACCAATCCGCTTGTTCTGTTCTCGCTGTTGGCCCAGGTGGCATGTTTGGCAGGTGCTCTTTGGGACAGATCCCGAGCGGACCTCTTCGCTGCACGAGGCGACCGGACCCGGCGGACCGACGACTTCGCGTGGTGTTCGCGGCGTCCGATGGGTTCAGGTCTTCAACCGGCGTATGGTTTTTTGGGGTATAGCTGCTTTATGTCTAAAGCAGATGCTGCATTGGGATGAGTCTAGACTGTTTGCACCTTTTGGTAGGTGATGATTGAGGCCCACTAGAAGCCTGATCCCTTTTTAGGAATCAATGGAAGTGGGAAGCCCTCTTGTTTGATGTTCTTCCCAGGTTCGCAGGTCTTGTCAATCGTGGACTTTCCTGCAGATGAGTTAAACTAGAGATGTTTCAATATGGGTGTGTATTAAGATAGGGAGACCTCCCAGTTCGACCCCTTTGGAAGAAGGAAACTAGATGAAAACCTATTGGTTGGGTGCCTCCCTATATAAATACACACCCATATGGAGCTCGAGTAGGAGCCGGGGGCGCCAAAGCGGACCGTGGTTCGCTGTCGAGGTGCGGCACCTGCATCTGGGCCGTGGAATCCCCACCTGGTCGCACCTTCACTTGCCACTCCTCAAGAATTTGCAGCCACCTGGTCGCCTTCACACCTGGTGCATCGGGGCAAAGACAGAAGAGAGGATTCAAGGAGCCCAGTTCTGAGCGATATGCGCAAATTTTGTAGCATGGTGATCAGATGGCCTCCAACCTCATAGCGTCCGATCGCTCCGTTCGTTGCGATGCCAGGAGCCCCCAGTAGCTTCTTGTTCCTAGCAGTAAGGCCAGGAGCCCCGTTCGTAGCGTCCTTGCTCCTAATTAATAGCGATGGCCTCCAACCTAAGAAAGAAGAAGATGTTGTTCCAATCTGGTGAGAGTCTGGAATTGTCACCTTCCAACTCGTTGGGTATTTGACGTGAAACAAAAGGCCATGCATCGGCCCAGCGAAAGAACGCAAGAATGTAAAGAAGGAAACTAGTAGCGATGCCAGGAGCCCCTAGTGGCGTCCGATCGCTCCTAGTAGTACGGCCAGGAGCCCCTAGTAGCTTCTTGTTCCTAGTAGTAAGGCCAGGAGCCCGTAGCGTCCTTGTTGAAGAGAACCGAATTGACGTTCCTTCCATGTTGCTTTGGTCCCTTTCTTGGCAGCGTGTATCGTCAGCAGGGTGCCTACATTGGTGCTACATCCTTTGCTTGGTCCCTTTCGTTTACAATGTTGTCTTCAAAACTCAAACTACTCCAAGTTATGGCCGCCTGACAGAAGTGAATTTCGAGTTTGGGTTTGTTACACCAATGACCGCGCGATGAACCGTGGCCTGTCGAGTTGTTAGCCATCGAGCCATCGGGTCCTTCAAAGACTGAAGAAGGAAAAGGTCGAAGGGTCTAAAGCAACTATAGAAAAAAGACAAGAAACCTACTAGCAATGGCCTCCAACCTACGTATAGTCCTAGCAAAAGACCAGGGAAGACCGGAAAAGGGATCAACCCCTCTTTAGACCGAAAAAGGGTCGAGTCCGCTTGCTTCCGAACGATCTTCGGACCGGTTCCCGGTGGGTCCGATGCCGCATCGGTTGGAAGCTGGGCCGTTCGTAGCGATGCCAGCTTGCTCCGTTCGTAGCGTGGCACTTGTTCCGTTCGTAGTAAGGCCAGGAGCTATGTTCGTAGCGTCCTTGCTACTAGTGGCGATGCACTTGTTACTACCTAAGGCATTTGAAGTTGGAAGCTGAGATTCTTGATTTGATTAGAAACGTGTTTGTTTTGCTTGCCCCGGAAGCTACAAGCCGATTCCGAGAGCTTATGTCAACACACTTTCTTGGCAAAGAAGTTTGACTTCTCATATTCTCTAGTTGTGGAGGCCATTGCTCTTAGGTTGGAGGCCATTGCTCTTGGGTTGGTGGCCATTGCTATTAGGTTGGAGGCCATCGCTAGTTGTTTGCCTTCCGTGTTTCACGGGTCCTTTTAACTCGATTTCAAGTATTGTCCAGTGTCTCATTCTTTGCTGTTTGATGCGGCTCTCTTGGTAGTGCCAGTGGCTTGACTTGTTCCTTGCCCAAGATTAGCACTGTTTGAACCCAAAGATTGCCTCGGGAACCCTTCGATTTGCTCGCTACAACTGTGCCATTCGAGAATTGTTCCATGTGTCAAGCATGCAACTACGTCCCTTAAGCCACGACGTTTTCATCCCCGAGGGACAATGAGAATTGCGGCAGGTGTCTGGCAGTTGTTCCGGTTTCTGGGAATGTCCACCGTGCTTTTTGGTTGGACAAAGAGAGGCCCTGCCTGTTTTCCTGAACAACTAGCCATGTAGGTTCAACGACAGTTTGGCGGGCTTGGGCCTGCCAGCCAGCTTGCGGAGTTTGACCTTCGGATACAGGCGCCCATCCGACGAACCGTTCGGGAGATGTTCCCCGAACCACTTGCCAGGGAAAGACGGAGGCCTCTAAAGCTAAAGAGCCCCAGGTGGTTGTTTTTGCCGATGCCCAAAACGTATTGAGTAGGATATGTCCAGATGATGTTGTAAAAATAGTTTGTATGTTACCTCCAGTGAGGCATTGCGTATGATTTCAGAAACGTTCAGGGGCCTGAAATTGGAATGCTTTGTAGGTCAGGAAAGCAGTGGACACGTGAAACGTGTTCGACCGTTTTTGGTCGGGTGAGGTAGCAGGAGCAGGAGCAGGGTCAACAAACTAGCCTAAGCCTATCCCGCATATAAAGAAAGATGTCATGTGCTCAACAATCAGAGGCTTTGCCAAGCCAAGGGCATCGCTACTAGTAACTAGGGCATCGCTACTAGTAACAAGGGCATGCCTGGAACGTCCTTCCCACCTTTTCGATAAGTCGATGTTGTCCCACGCGTTCACTCTGAAGAGCTTCCTTCGATGCTTGCAAACCATCTCACTCCCAAGCATGAGGCTATCTATGGCGCTCAACAGAAATCAAGTCACAATCGCCGTTGGTCAATGGTAACATGATCAAAATCCGTGCATGTTTCTTCTCGCAGGATTTGGGTTGGAGGTGATCGCTAATCGAATTGAGGCCATCACGGTCGGATCTAGAGGCCATCGCTTCTAACCTCCGGAGAAGTCGCAGCTACACCTCGCACAAAAGAACGAATGATTTGATGCTCGAACGTTTAAAGTGCCACGGATAAAAGCTCTATCCACTGGCTCTGTCTTCAGGTACAACCAACCGCTGAAAGGTGTGACCTTTCCTGCGCTGAAGGCTTTGAACTTTGGGGGTTGTTTCAATCAACCCTTGGAGAATCTACCAGCACCTCGGCAGGTCTTTGTTGCGCGATCGGACCCGACCAACTGGGTTCTATCGTCTTGGACCGAGCCCTTCAATCATCGGACGTGGCAGGAACTCGTCCGGTGAAGGTTCTGGTTCCGAAAGACGTGTACAGAGAGGGAAAGGTTCTACGGTTTTTTTTTGTGTGGCAGGTGTTGATTCTTTTTGCGGGCGATATCAACCATCAAGCTGTAGAGAAGACCAGCTCCGGTCGGTCCCTGTCATAGTTCCCCACCTGAGAAGCAGAAGATAAAAATACCAAAACATATTCCATGGATCCATCCGGTGGACGGTTTCATCGAATCATCGCATTTTCACCCCGAGAGGTCCTCATAGCGTCCGAACGCTCCGTTCGGTTCGCGATGGCCTCCCCGCCCTCACCGATGCGACTCGAGGCCAGTCTGGAGGAGTTGACCTTTGGACGATGCTTCGATCAGCCACTCTCCAACTTGCCGAAGGACGCCCCTCCGTTGGGGAACGATGGCACCAGCTGATGTCACAGTTCATGCTCCAAGTGGGCCTTAGTAAGGACTCCAACCTAATAGCAAGAGCCTCCAACCTTTTAATAGCAAGGGCCTCCAACCTACGACCGCGAACCCAAAAGTCCATTAGGTGGAGTTTGAGGAGTCAACTTGATCTTGGAGGGATCCAAATTCTGACTTTAATACATGACAAAGTTCGTCCTGGTTCAGAATTCCAGTCCCAATGTGTGAGCTTGTTCAGTGGTGCTGACAGTTCGTTTTGAGATTTTGTGCATGCATATGGCATATTTGGTTTCTGGGGCATTCAGCATCACCGAAGAAGTTGAGAAGAACCCTTCGCTCATCAGGAGCTTCGGACTTTACGCTTGGGAGAGCTGTTCAGAAGCAGCGTCAAGGACGTGATGTTGCCCAATCTTCAGGAGCCGTTTGGAGACAGGGGCTCCTGGCATCGCTACGAACGGAGCAAGAACGCTACGAACGGGGCTCCTGGCCGTACTACTAGTAACAAGAAGCTACTAGGGGCTCCTGGCATCGCTACTAGAAGCAAGGACGCTACTAGGGGCTCCTGGCTGCCTGGCATTTCCACGTCACTCACATCCTTTTGAGAGATTCGACGTCGGCGGTTTGCGTGCGTCTGGTCATGGTGGCACCAGCTGTTGAGATCTAGTAATCAAAGAAGCGCATCGCAATGAACTCACCTGTCCATCTTGGGGGGGGAACTGCGATTTCCGCCATTTCGGGAGGTCCAGAGCTGGCAGAAGCACCACCAGCAGCTCTTTGGTAGAGTCACAGAGACACACGGTGTGGCTGTTTGTGGGGGTCGGATACCTCAGCAGGGGATGCATCCAGAAAAGCTTGAGGTTTGAACACTTCAAAAGTCTAGGACCAACTTCACAGCTTGCAGGTCACCAAACGTTTGTTCTTTTCCCGTTCCCCCTCCTTCCTACTTAATTAAATGGGCACCTACTTGATTCAATAAGGAGGTAAGCTAGTGGTGCGACGCAGGATAGCTCACGCTTCTTCAAGGAGCGCTCGCACTAGTCATTTGGTTCCCAGTTGTTTAAAGAAACTAAAGCAAATCTACACATGGTTGGTATGGCGAACAAGAAGTAGGCCAGAAGCGTAAGCTGCCGGTCTCCAAGTATACACAACCGTCCAGCTACCGACCATCCAGGACTGGAGCTTCCGTCGTTACATCGTGGACCCTTTGAGCGAGATCCACTTGCCCCAAACCTTGCGGCACTTGACCCTGCCAGACTTCTTCAATCAGAGCCTTCAGGACCGAAGGACCTGAAACCACATTCCGTCCGTAGCTGAAACGATGCCCGAGGAAGCTTCGGTCGCTACCGAAGGGGTCGCTACCTTCGACTGAAGCCACCGGGGGGTCGGACCGAACTCTCTCGCTTCTGCCGCTGGGCGAACAAAGAAGGACCGGTAGACACTACGAGCTATTAGGTTGGAGACCATCGCTGGTAAGTTGGAAGCCCCATACTGAACAACATCTGGCGAATTCGGTCGCTCACTATACCCAGTCCTCAGCTGACATCCATTACAGACACCTCGATGGGCTCGATTCGGTGCTTCATTGGCACATATGGCTACGGACGGTCTTGTACGATTCAGTGTTTCCCACACCGGGAAAGTGTCCCTTTCTATTTTACCTGAAATCATAAGCATGAGGCAGCATGGGCCAATCTGACCTTTCTAAGTGTGGAGGCGTTTTATTTGGTCAAATCGCTATTGGGTTGGAGGCCATCGCAGAAAGAAATAAAGAAAGACACCATCCAGCCCTCAACCGGAAGGAGGTGGAGTTTCCTACCCACCTGGAAAGCCTGCTCTTCGGATATTCCTTCAACCAACCGCTGGCAAAAGTGAAGCTCCCAAGAGGCTTGCGGCGCTTGTCACCTGAACTGGAAAAGTTCGGTCGCATAATGAATTTGCGAGTTCCAATAGACAACCTATAAACATTTGGCAGACTTTGAACCAAAGGTCTTGTCAAAGCTGTTCCTTCACATGTTGCCATTTGCCAGGTAAGTAGCAGCTCCTGAAACCCTGTCCCCAACAAAAGAACACAAAGGCGATCTGTCAGAAGCCAGTACACCAATCAGCATGTCTACGCAGGCCACGGCTACAGTGTTTGACCCACATCGTTGCAAAGGTTGGCGACATATCACATAGAAGAAGAAATATGTTCGTACTGCCCGTTGGTGCTGCTTTCGAACCTTGTAAGGTGGCTCCTAGTTCACCGCATTGGATGCCGTTCCGGACGTTGGTTCCAGATGCGGAGACGTCGCTGAGGTCCTTTGGAGCATTCTTTAACACAAGCCTTGAAGGAGTCGAGTTTCCGGACTTGCAAAGCATGACCTTCGGCTATTACTTCGATCAAAGCTTGGAGAAGGTCGGAGTGGTTTGTTTGGTCAAGGGCTGTGCGATTGTTGGGAAGTGAAAGGAGCTTTCGATTTGTTCTTCCGGTTCTGGCTCTTTGTGTCTAAGGGCTGGAGTGTTCGTTGTGGGTTTCATGTTGTGTTCTTGGCCGATGACTCCTTCCATTCAAACGACACAGGTCGAAGTCTGGTCCTGGAACCATGTTCGACAAATGAGGGGGCCATCGTAATTAGGTTGGAGGCCGTTGCTATTAGATTGGAGTAAAGTCTATCGTGTTCTTTATTTTGTCAATATGCGTCATCTTATCAAGTGTGTTTCACTCTGTGAACCTAACTAGGTACAGCTGCCCAGCACACTGCAGAGTTCTCGGCTGAAAAATATGTGTTTGATTTGTTGGCAGCATGGACTTTCTTTTCGTAATCCAAACGGGTTTCAACTTTACTTTTGAAGAGCAAGATCAATTTTGTGCCGAGTCTATTTTTCGAAATGTGAGGTTTGGTCTTGGGCTTGGACTACAACCAATCTTTGGAGAATGTGAACTTCCCAACCAGCTTGGCAACTCGCCCTTTTTTGATAGCCGAATCATTCAACAAGGCGGTGAATGTTTGTCATCATATGTCATTTTTTTGAGGGGCACTATGCTGCTTCAAGTCTATCGCAACAGAGCTTACTGCGCTTGGGTGCAATGTTGTTGATCGCATCGAGGATTGACAAGGTCAACAGTCTTAGAGAGTACCATGGAGTAGCTACTCCAATATAGAGATAGCGAGCATCTGAAGACTACTAAGTTACTAAGAATCATCTCAAGACCAATGACTCTGGGTTGTTATGTCAGCCAGGGGCTTTTTCGCTGGTTCACGCCAGTGCCGGAATGACCGGCTTTCAGCGGAAAGACAATGCACTTGTTCCTAGTAGCGAACATTGTTTCTAATAGCTTCTTGTCACTACTAGTAAGGCACTTGTTACTAGTAGCGATGCACATGTTCCTAGTAGCAGGTGATACTTGGATTCCGTGGTCTTGAAGAGGCTATCAGTGATCAGATGAGCAGAGTGCCATCGATGTGGAGAACCTGATCAAGCTACGCATTGCTCTTGTTCATAGTAGCTAACAAGCTACGAGTAGCAAGGTGCTTTACTGGTAGTAACAAGCTACTAGTAGTAATGCACCTTGCTACTATTAGCTTCTTGCTACTAGTAGCTTTTTGTTCCTAGTAGTAATGCTAGGAGCTACTAGTAGCTTCTTGTGCTTTTTATTCCAGGTGTGTACTTCTCTTTTCTTTCCAAGCAAAGGGGTGTTGACGTGCAGGACCAGCACACATCTGCGCACAAGTTGGTTTAAGTTATTAGACCTTTCTGGTTCCTAGTAGCGTGGCACTTGTTTCTAGTAGCTTCTTGTTACTACTAGTAAGGCACTTGTTACTAGTAGCGATGCACTTGTTCCTAGTAGCAGTTATCAGACCTTTCTTCCTTTTTTCTGTGTTTCTAATGCGATGGCCTCCGACCTAAAGGCGATGGCCTCCAACCTAATAGCGATCGCCTCCAACCTACAAGCTCGGTTTTTTGATCTCCAGCTGCATTTTGCCATAACCAGCTGAGGAACTCTTGACCTTCGGCAACTTCTATCGACAGAGCTTAAAGACGCTCGAAGAGTGTGAACTCGTTTCAGCCGAAGAGAGCTACCAACGCATTTGCATGTGTGAACAAGGACGCTATTAGGAACAAGTGCCACGCTAGTAGTAACAAGTGCCTTACTAGTAGTAACAAGGACGCTATTAGGAACAAAGGGCATCGCTACTAGAAGCAAAGACGCTACTAGGGGCTCCTGGCCTTACTAGGAGCAAGGACGATACTAGTAACAAAGGGCAGCGCTACTAGTAACAAGAAGCTACTAGTAACAAGGACGCTATTTGCAAGTAACAACACAGCCCAAGAAACCGCAGTCGAGAGCTGAGGCAACTCCCACCACCGGGCAGTTCCGGTGCTACTAGCAATGGCCTCCACCCTAGTAAGCGATGCCCTTGCTCCTAGTAGCTTCCTTGCTACTAGTAGTAATGCCAGGAGCGCCCCTGGTAGCTTCTTGCTCCTAGTAGCGATGCCCTTTGCTCCTAGTAGCGATGGCCTCCAACCTTCTTCTAGCTGGTGAAAAGGTTGTGTTTAAAAGAATAGAAGAGATTGATTTCAACGGGGCAACCCTAACACTCAGCACTAGTCGCCTCACTGGTCGAGGAACGTTCACTTCCCGCCAAATCTGCAGAGCATGACGTTCGGCCGATTTTTTCAGGAGCCTCACCGACGTGTCCCTTTTTTGAGTGCTTCCTTCGAGCATGACTGCTTCGTTCGTGTGTTTTCGTGTGCTTTCAGAGGACGACGAATATTCGGCGAGTGAGAGAAGATTGCCAAGTCTGTGCAGTTTCGTAGGAACCCTTTCGTTGACTTTGTTTGGTGTGCTGGTGGGCCTTCTCTCGCGTGGCAGGATTGTACGACTGGCGCGGATCTTCCAAAGACCTTGCGGACTTTAAATCTCATCCACACCTTCAACTGCAACTTGGACTGCAAGAAATCCAAGTTCCTTCCCGGAAAGAAACGGAAAAATGATTGTCATGCTTGTGGGTTGGTGCGGTCAATCAGACCGTCAGGCAGCTTGGAGGTTGTCAAGTTGCCACCGACACTGGAGAACTTGAGCTTCGGCAACTCTTTCAACCAGAGCCTGGAGGGTCTCAGCTGTGGCAAGCTACGCAGCCTGTCCTTGGGAGACGCTTGGGCTGTTTGGAGACGCTCGAGCAAAACCTGAGAGATGGCCTGTGAGGCCGTAGCTACTGGCCGGGAGTCGAACCAATCGCTCAACGGTACCATCAATCGCTGATCCGATTTGCCTCCCAAAAAGAATCCTACCAAGACAGGTTGAACAGTCGCCCATCCCATATGTACTACTACAGGGTCCTAGTTCTGGTCTCTCAACCTCTCTTGGTATTCATTTGAACATAGACTTCCGAATCCGCGAAGGGACGCCTTTTGCAAACTGTCGCACAGGAGTGCCCAACAAGTAGTGCTAGTGCCTTTAGCGCCACGCCACTAGCCCCCCCAGTTGAGTGTCCTGCAAGAGTGTCGCACAAGAGCACTGGCTGGGGTCCCGTCGTTGTCCTTCCAGTTGTGCTTCATGGCCTTTCCACACCGTGGTTCTGCCCTTCCCAAGTCCCACCTGGGCGAACTTTGCAAGATCGCCCTCAGTGAGAGACTTCGCGGTCGTTGGCTCCAGGGGAACTCCAGGGTCGTATTCGTCTCGTCGGAGAGTGTCACACAACCTGAGATATTCAAGTGGTTTTGCCTTTGGGTTCGGTTTATCTTGCTTTTTGCTTGCTTTCTGGTCCTTTGCATCCTTGGACTTTCTGGTCCTCTTCATTGCTCTCCCTTGCTTGGCCCTTTTGCGAGCTTCGCCATCGATTGCACCACTCTTCATCCACCAACGCCATCGTCTCGTCCCATCCGCGCCGCGTGAACCGCGACGCTGACGAGGATCACTTCAATCAGAGTCTGACAACGGTGCACCTCCCAGGCACCGACTGACCGGTCGTCGGGTCACTTGAGGGGAGCATGGCAGCCATGCTCCTCCTTTCCAGGTAGGCTTATATCTCCGTAGCATCGATGGTGTCCCCTATGTATTTGTCAGTGGACCCAGAGCAAAACCAATACAATTTCATTTTTCCCATCCGCCGTTTGGATGACCGAACTCACATACCGATCTGCCGGAGCCGAAGAAGATGCCAGGGACGTTGGAGAGTTTGAGCTTTGGGGCTGCCTTCAACCAGCCATTGGACATCTCCTTGCCCAGAAGTCTGCAGCTGGTCTTGCCAAACCTTTTGGAACAACCTCACGCGAGGTGACAGGTGTTCGACCGATGTGGAAGCAAAGTATGGGATTATGGGTGAGATCTCTACATATCTTAAACTCTTAACCTCCCATGTTGGAAGATTCTGTGATGCCCCCAGGCCCAGTTCCGCGAGTTCTTTGAACTCCAAGGTGAGTTAGGTGACAATTGCTATAAGGCAACATTTGGCGATGGCCTCCAACCTAAGGCTGCGGAGTTAATTTTTGGATATGTTTTTGTGTGTGTTTTTTGCGTGTTGTTCATTTCTGAGAGAGGAAAAGCTGGGTGCCCCTTAGTATCCAATGTGGTGGGGTTGCCGACAAAAGGGATGCTACGTTGCAATGGCTTCTACTAAGCGAAGCAAGAAGATAGTAGTTGTGGTGTTGTGGTAACTGTGGTGGTCGGAATGATGGAGGTACTGGTAATAGCAGGGGTAGGGGTAACTGTTAAAAAGCGGGAGGGGGTGCGGGGGAGGGCGCAGCGCCTCCCCCCGCAATGCAAATCAATAGACAGCGCTGGGCTGCTTCGTTTCTTTCACCTTCCTTCCTTCCTTCCTTCCTTCCTTTCTTAGGGAGGGAGGAAGGAAAGAAAATATGCAAAGAAAGAAAATAGAACAATAAAACTCATATAGAACTGATTCACCAAAATGGAAATGGCTGCACAACCCGGGCAACTGTGAACAGCACAGCTCTGTAGGCTGGCCACTCCCAGCAGCACATGGCATGCGCAACCCTGGCCACTTGTGAGCAGTACAGCTTTGTAAGCTCCAGCACGACAGCCGCAGAAGCAAGGGAAGCCAAAAGCCACAAAAGCCAAAAGCCAACAGAAGCCAAAAGCCAACAGAAGCCACCAAAAGCCAACAAAGAAGCCACCAAAAGCCAAAAGCCACCACAAAAAAATAATACCCCTCCCAACCTAATTGCAATGGCCTCCAACCTAAAGGCGATGGCCTCCGACCTAAAGGCGATGGCCTCCAACCTAATTGCAATGGCCTCCAACCTAATTGCAATGGCCTCCGACCTAAAGGAGATGGCCTCCAACCTAATTGCAATGGCCTCCAACCTAAAGGCGATGGCCTCCAATCTAATTGAAATGGCCTCCAACCTAAAGGTGTGAGCGTTAGTAACCATCAGAGATGGTAAATGAAGTCAAGATGATTTTTGGGTTGAGTTCACAGAACCAATCTAGTCAACTTCAAACGTTTGTTTCTGGCAGGTACCATCCATGCTTTCGTTGCACTTCAACGCAGGATGCCGCAGCATCCATCGTTCGTTCGTCGCACATGGCTCAAGCCATGGACATCATGCACAGGACATTCGTTCATGCGAGAAAAAGATGTTCTGGTGCGGCGCTTTGGGTGGAGGAACACATGTCATTTCTGAGGTGTTGAGGCCTAGAACATGTTGGTCATGTTTGGCTTCATCGCTTCGCATGGTAGCGGAGCTCATGGTGCTCCTTAGAGTAGGTCTAGGAATGTTCCAGGTCGTGTTCACTAGGTTTACTTTTCTTCACGATCCACCTGCGCGAGCCATGGCTAAACGGACTGCAGACGAACGAGAAGTGGAAGAGCGTGATCGATCCCCTTGAGGACGTTCCATGCCTGCCACGTCGAAAGCCCCAGAACCTTCATCTTTAGGACCAGCCGCTTCGATCAGATTAGAAAAGCAAATATCCGATCTTACAAGAGGTCTCCAAATGATGGGCCAGCAGCTTCAGACTTTGTCGACCGTAGTTGAAACTCAGCAGAAAGCCTTCATGAGAGCCCAAGACACGTTCGTGCACCAACAAGCTCAGATCGAGAACCTTAGAGCACATCAAGCAGTGTTGCCCATATTCCCAAGAGGGACTAGATCTCCTTCACCGGTGACGCATGCACATGCTCGGACAAGTCCCTTTGGTGCTTCAACTGGAGCCCAGGCTCATGGTGCTTTGCCTTTTGGAGTAATGGGTTCATCGAGCGCTGCACCGGCGCAACAACAGCCACAGGCGAATCCGAGTTATGTTGGTACACAGTCGACTTCAAATGTGCCGAAGTTGGTGCTCCCAGGAGGTGTTGAAATTCCTCTTGGTGTGCCCTCCGTAGGAGCTACGAATGTAGCTGGAACTTCAACGACCCAAGATACAAAGCCTGCACAGCTCGATGCCTTCCAACGTTCCGATGCTTCCCAAAATGCCAAAAGTGGACTCAAGAGGATGGCGCACCCGAACCGAAGAGATCATTGGCTTTGAGACATTCCTGGAGAATTTCAGTGGATGGTTGGGATTGGTTTCAGCTGCGTTTGCCAATGAAGTGAAGTTTTCAATCACTTCCTCTCCAAGCATTGAACCGTCGATGTTGAACGAAGAACAAAAGGCCCGTGGTGTCAGACTTTTGAATATGCTTACGCAGATCTTTCGAGACATCCCCAAGGCCAAGATGATCCTGCTTGCGTATAATGAGGCTTCACATGCTGGAGAGAAGCATGGATTTGAAGCTTTGCGGCTCATCTCCCGTGAATACCTTGTGAGGTCCAGACAAGAAGTCATGCATTTTCGACAATCCCTTTTGAACAAGACCTTTGAGGCCGATTCCATCACCGAGCTCATCAAACAGATGGAGTTTGAAGAATGTCGATATAGCAAATTGTTGAACATGCTGCCAAGTTCAATTTCCAAAGCAGGTTTGGACATCCAAGGAACGGATTTAGCCATGCTTTTCCTTCGTTCGCTACCGAGTGTTGTTCGAGAATATTGCACGATGCACAGCAGTTCAGATGACTACAAAGACCTACAATCTGCTGTATTGAAGTACGAAACTTCCCAGAGATTGTGGACAGAAATCAGTGGCAACACACTACATGCAGAGCATGTTCGATTCGGGTAAGTCAAAGAAAGGTGAAAAGGGGAAAGGAAAAGGTAAAGAAAAGGGCAAGAATCAACGCCCATCGTCTGAAGGCCCGAAGAAAAAGGCTGAGGAAAAGGGTGAAAAGGAAAAGAATGCTATGTGCTTTCGATGCAATCGCAAAGGCCATTACCAGAGTAATTGCCATGCCCGCACCGACAAGGATGGCAATCCCCTTGGTTCGAACGAGAAAGCCAATGCTTCGAATGAACAAGCATCAAAAGGCTCAGCTAATGCCGAAGGAAAGGGAAAAAGTAAAGGTGGAAAGGGTAAGAGCAAGAAAGGTAAAGGCAAGATCCAAGAACTTGTGGTCGAGGAATCTCCGGCTAGTCGTGCGTGGAACGCCGACCCATCGGCCCCATTGAGCCCTTTCGTTGCTTCGAATGCCGCTTTTTCAGCCCCATGCCTACGAACCATGGCCGATTTTGAGAATTCGTTGACCTTGGAGGACAGAGTTTGGGGTGGATATCCACTTGAGTCACTAGATTCCAATGTGGTTGAAACATTGTTTTGTGATGAGATTTCTCTTTCCTGTGGCAACAAGTCAGGCAAACTAGCCGTTTCAGATCTAGACCCAGGAAGCATGCCATTTTTGATGCCCACATTGAGCGGTTCCCAACAGGAAAGTTCAGATGTGTTTTGGTGGTTATTGGATTCAGGAGCAAGTGCCTCTGTTGTGAGTAGTCGGTTCCTTAGCGAATATGAAGTACTTCATCGTGTTGACCTTCCCACCGATAAGAAGGATGGCCTCTCTTCCGCCTCAGGTGAGGTGATTGTGCCGAATGCTGCTGTCTGCGTTAGAGCCTTCTTCAGGATGACCTCCATAGAAGATCCGTCTACGCACACTTTGAAAGAGTGTTTAATCGCAGCCTTCGTTGCCGATGTTCCAAACAATGTCGTCAGTTTGGGTACTTTGTTGAAGAAAGGTTGGTGTTTGGGGAATCAGGGTGCACAATTGAGATCACCAAAGACGGATACAAACTTCTTGTCACCACGTGGCAGAACGTGCCATGGATGTATGACGAAAGTTGTGATGCTGCCAAGAGTGATAGTGAAGGTCCGGATCCATCCCCGAGGGAATCAAGATCCAAAAGTCGTTCAGGGTGGAAATGCAAACACGTTCGTTTTGGTGATGCACAGATTTCACAATTTGAAACAGAACCTTTCTTGATGGCCGCTAAGCGTAAAGCAGAATCCGAGATTCCAGTTCCGCTTTCGCCCGAAACCGTTTATCGACCTCAGCCTCAAGCCGTGTCTTCGACACCCGCCAACCGAAACGTAGTTGGGGACTCAGGGACTGCTGAGCAGTCAGGGCAGAACCCTTCATCGTCTTCAAGTGGTAGGGTGAGTGGGAGAATTCCGAATGAGCCCAATCCAGTTTCTGTTGACATGCAACTTGAGAAGCCGGTGCCACCACCAGGTCTATCAATTGGCGCCAATGGCCCTTTGCAATCCTCTCAGGAAACATCAGAATCATCGCCACATCCAGTTGTGTTGAGGAAGGTCAAAAGGTGAAACAGTCTTTAGAAGAACATAGAAATCAAGGCCATTTTCCGTTTCACGAAGGATGTTTGTCACGTTCAGCTGCAAAATCTTTCACATGCACAGGGGCCGCCAATGTTGAACGCAAGACAGGGATCACAGTCATTGCTGCCAGACATGGGCGTCCTTCCCTCAGTGTCGGATTCTCTTATCAGCCACATTGAAGGGCCTTGAAGGGACAAGCAGAGCGCTGATAGCTTCCATGGAGGCAGAAATAGATTAGAACTACTGTAGCTACTGTAGAATACTTTCAAAGAATAAGCTTTAGGCTCGTCCAGGTGTCGATAGGTTCAAGAGGTTTCTTGAGAAGTTCAAAGGCAGAATGGCCAACCCTGCTTGGCTCGCGACAGGCATGGACGGTTCTTTGACCTGTTGTCCCAATTTCTTCGACCTCACGTACCGTTCTCGACGCACGCAGGATCGTTCTCGACAACCCGGTGCCTGTGGACTGCAGAACATGGGGAACACCTGCTACATGAACTCCGCTGTGCATCTGAGCCCAAAGTGGATTGCTAGCGCGGCCCAGGGGGACAGAGCTGATAATATA